TCAGTCTTATATTTTTGTAGTGAATTTCACATTATCGAGAAAATAAGCGAAAAATAAGAAAGAAAAAGAAAATAAAGAAATAAATAAAAGAAGAAATGGAAAGATGAAAGTTACCGCAATCTGTCTACACTTTACACTCCATTACTACTGAAGAGTGTGATGTTGGAATTAGGCATGTTAATCTACACAGATTTTGGACTGTTACTGAACGCTAAATACCGCATAAATACCTTCGGCGTTTATTGCTCTGACTGGTCAATATCGTTGGGGAATTTCTAGAGAGAGAAAAAAAATAGCGGTGGTTCTCAATGTCTGTGGTCTGATTATGTAAATCACGTACTGTTATCAGATATTATTATTAGGTCAGTTATTATTAGATTAATACTACTTTAATGTATCTATTTTCTCATCTCTAAACAGATATCGGATTTTTTTTTATTTTTCTTTCTTCTTTTTTTTTTTACTTTTTTTTTGTCAATCAATTGTTTTATGGACTTAACCTTGAACTTTAAATGTTTTTGCTCTTTTTTTAAGCTTTTTACTCCTAGAGATCAATCACAGAAACATATAGATTATATTATTATTGTATAAAAGGGCTTAAACCCGCGATCTGCCGAAAATTCAGAAAACGAATTTTCTTCCACACATTTGCGCCAACTTCCATTACAAAGAGAAGCTTTACATACCATACTATGCAAAGAACTTCAGGCGTTTACATTGCAATACTATATTCCTAGATCTTTTCGGGAGGGATAATCTGAAATCGGGGTATCAAAATCCGTAGAGTTTTCTCAGTGAAGCGCGCCTGTTTTCTCTCCCGCCGTTTCCTCCTCCATTTTCTCCTCTCTCCTTTCTCTATCTCCTTCTTGCTTTCTACCTCCTTACATTCCTTTGCAATTTTTTTTACTCTCTTTTCTCTTTACTCGGCTGTACATACATAGACACGCGTATGTGTCTTATAAATCAACCATTATTGTTGCGTTGAAAAATCTGTACACAAAAGAATCACAATTCTAAAAAAAAAAAAGATATATATATACATAAAGTCTCCGCAATAATAATGATAAAAAAAAATCTGGGGGAAATCTAATTTTAATGAGGTATTGACATATTGGAATTTCAGTATATCTACTTGATGTATTCAGTCGACCGATGCTGTTGTTGAAAAAGGGAAAATATTCATCGGGTGGAAATTCGGTATAATGAACGAATTTTTCTTTTCTTTTTCACTGTGTTTCTTTTGTTTCCAGATTTTGATACTTTGTTCGCCTTTTGTGTGTTTTTATTTTTTTTTGTTTTATTTATTCATTCATTTTGCAGTCAGGATTATTTATTTTCTTTTTCTTTTGATAGAAGGATTCACAAAAAAAAAGTTTTGGAAGGTACACAGTATTTCTTCGTATCAAATAAAACAACCAAGAAAAAAGTCCCTAGACAGGTGTATCGGATTTTTCTAAGGCGCTTTCCTGTCTTCGAAACAAATTTTCTGGAGGTAAATCATTATTTGGGGATTTAGGTTAAATGTAACCTCTTTTCGGAACAACAAGAAAGAGAAAGGAATATGAATATGTATGGTAAGCACACACACACAGAAACACACACACACACACACTCACACACACACACACTCACACACACACACACACACACACTCACACACACACACATACACACACACAAATACACACACTCTATCTATTTATCTATATAAATCTATCTATGTCTGTCTGTTTTCTCTCTCTCTCTCTCTCTCTCTCTCTCTCTCTCTCTCTCTCTCCCTGTATATATATGTATATCATAGTAAACATATCGGAATTGAACGAATTTCACCCCTATGCACAACATGATTATACTCCTAAAGACATTGCAAGAGCCTCTTTGATGCCTGTGTCCAACTTTCGACTTTGGACTCTTTGGTGAGATGTTTTGTCAGGTGTTGCTGTTGTTTGCGTTTGACGTTTTGTGTGTAAAGATTTTGAGTAACAATTTTGTAAAAAGGAGACAGAAAATGTATTTTTTAAAATAAAAATAGTTGTCTATTTTCTTCTTCTCTCTACTCGCTTTCCTCCTGCTCCTCCTCTTCCTTCTTTCTCTTCATCTTCTTTTTCTTTAGCTAATAATGTTTCTTATATTTCCATCTTTTTCATTTCCTCCTCTTCCTGTGCGTACGTGTGTATTTATTTAAGCGTGCATGTGTGTGTATGCGTGCGTGCAAGTGTATATGTTTTCATTTTATCTTAATATACTTGACTGTGTTCATAAAACTCTATTAGTATATACTCGCTTCTCTCTATTACTACACATTTTCCCGAGCTGCAATAAATATGTTGAAAACGAGTCTGTTGCAGAATAATATATATTCGTGCATTTGCATACATGGTACGTTCATGCATGTGTCTACGTTGAAACCATTGCAACATTTCTAAGCCAGTAGCACTTGGCTCTGCAATAATAAACGAATAAAATTCACAGAAATGTGTTTCTCAAAAAAAAAATTACT